CTTCTGGATCCTCACACATGTTCTTCGTTTTCTCTGGAATGTTCTCCAACTTTCTATGATTCTTCTCAGTATTAGGATTCCTCCTAACTGGCTTAGCACATAGAACAAAGCAGTCAATGAATTTATCATACTCTATGGTAATTGTCTCTTTCCTTGTCTCTGGTCCCCTTTCAGTTGTGAGCCCCTTATACATTTAGTGACCATAGTTAGTGACTGTGCCTTATTCATCTCTGTGCATCCAGTGCCCAGAAGAATGGCAGAAACCCAATAAACACTGAATGAAAAAGTAAACTTGATGGAAAAATAGCAGGTTACAGGTGACAAATAATTTTTTTATAAAATAATATCTATTATTGGGTGTTCTGTTCTTATACATAGCAGAGTCACCTTGTCTCCACCATCACAACTATCATTATTCTTCTACTAACTTGTCTTTATAAAAAAATCGTTCTCACTTCTTTGTTCATAACTGTGAGTCATGGTGATATACAGGGTCAGAAAAGTTAGTAATGTAATACTTGCTGAGCAGGAATAATGGTGGTCCTTAAATGATTACTCTTGTCTTAACAAAAGAAGACTACTCAACTCTTAACAAAGTTAAGTCAAAATTATGTCTTGTACTGCTGTTCCTTTACCAGATCTTTCATTCTGTGTTTTCTTTTTCATGACTCTGGTGACAGAATGTAAACCTTCTTTTAAAGAGTTCATATAGCCAAAATAGTATTGGCTTTCCTTGGTGACACTGACCTGCTTGCTGCCTAATATCCATGTTTCCATGATGCAACTTTCTTTTCCTTTTAAGTATCTACCTTTTTTGGCTTGGATACAATCTGCCCTTTTTATCCTATCAACATATGTTGAAGATGTACAGTTTGCAAGGAATTAGACAAAACTCTGGAAAGATTTTAAAGATATTACAAGAAACAGTGGAAAGTAGAAAAAATCCAGGCCTTTCTTGACTTTGTCAACTGTTAACCCTGTGCCTACAAGCAAAGTTGTGTAACTTGCCTGAGTCTTAGTTTCCCCACTTGGGGATAAAATCCCTACTTCTCAAAATCATACCTGGCATGGAGTAGATATTTAATAAGAGCTGGTTTCCTTTCTTTCTTTCTTTCTGCTTTTCCATGTGGCATATATACAGCATAATTCTAATAAAGGAGCCCAACCAAACTGCAGATAGCAAATAGATCTGAAGATGTATCACAAAAACAGTCTCTCACTTAAACAGTTGTTACCATATTATCTGCCCCTCATGTGATCACACATCTTTTCCTTGGCTACTAAACTACCAATGATTAATTCGTTTAGATTTGAGCATTCTTGGCAGTTATTACCAATGCTGAAGCTGTTTAGAAATGCAGAAAAATTATGTTCCTGTTGGGATATGAATGCAGTCATTGAATATGGACAGCCATTCACCCATTCACTTACAAAAATATGAGCATCTCCTATATTCCAAACCTTAGCAATACATTGATAAAATGGCTAGAGCCACCAAATTTTAAATGGAAAAATACCTATAATTCTTTTAAGCATTAAATATTTTAATCTTAACTATTGTATTATTATTCAAAATCATTACATACCAAGCTAAGCTCTTGGAATGGATTATCTTATTTAATTTATACAACAGTTCCTCCAAGGTAGGTACAATAATTAACCCTCATTTTTTTTAATTTTAGTGTATTATGGGGGTACAAGTGTTAAGGTTACTTATATTCCCCATGCCCCCCTCCCCCCTCGAATAAGAGCTTCAAGCATGTCCATCCCCCAAACATTGCACATCTTATTCGTTGTGGTTGTATATACCCCCCCTCCTCCTCCCCCCTCCCACCCTCCCAACACCCGATAAATGTTACTCCTATATGTCCACTCCTATATGTTGATCCGTTAATACCAATTTGCTGGTGAGTACATGTGGTGCTGGTTTTTCCATTCTTGAGATACTTCACTTAGTAGAATGGGTTCCAGCTCTATCCAGGAATATACAAGAGGTGCTATATCACACCACTGTTTCTTAAAGCTGAGTAGTATTCCTTGGTATACATATACCACATTTTATTAATCCACTCATGAATTGATGGGCACTTGGGTTGTTTCTATAGCTTTGCAATTGTAAATTGTGCTGCTATAAACATTCAAGTGCAGGTGTCTTTTTCATAAATTGACTTTTGATCTTTTGGGTAGATGCCCAGTAGTGGAATTGCTGGATCAAATGGTAGATCTGCTTGTATCGCTTTGAGATATCTCCATATTGCTTTCCCCAAAGGTTGAACTAGTTTGCAGTCCCACCAGCAGTGTAGGAGTGTTCCTCTCTCTCCGCATCCACGCCAGCATTTGTTGTTTGGGGACTTTTTGATAAAGGCCATTCTTACTGGAGTTAAGTGATATCTCATTATGGTTTTGATTTGCATTTCCCTGATGATCAGAGATGTTGAACATTTTTTCATATGCTTTTTGGCCATTATTCTATCTTCTTTTGAGAAGTTTCTGTTCATGTCCTTTGCCCATTTTTTGATAGGGTTGTTTGATTTTTTCTTGCTGATTTTCCTGAGTTCTAAATAGATTCTACCTCATTTTACAGATAAGGAAACTGAATCCTAGAGAAGTTAAGTGATATCCTCATGTTTACATAGCAAATAAAAGGAGAAGCTGGGATTCAGACCCAGACCATGCCAGCAGGTTTTTAGAGTGAGTTCAAGGGACTTACTAGAGATTCCCAAGACTCTAAGTAAGTCAATGAGGTCAAGACTATTTTTAAAATATACTAGGACAATATTCACTTTTTTTATTCTCATACTCTGATGCATGTACAATCAAGTATTCTAGAGGCTATATACCTTGTGATATCACAACAGATCAAATGCAGAAGCAAATATAACATTCATCTGCTTCTGCTTCTAAGTCAGAAAGAGATTTATAAAGTTTATAAATTTTATGAAAATAAAATTTTCATAAATTTAAAATTTTATGTTTATAAAATTTATGAAAAAGATTTATAAAAATAGAAAACTGTACCACTCTTCATACTAATTTTTTTGTTTTAGAAAATATAGCTTTTTCATAAAAATGTGTTATTGATATTAACATAGTAATAGTTTTATTATTTTTCAAATGAATTAATTTTTTTTAATTCTCAGTTTTAATTTCTAAAATGGTAAATATTGATAGATATAACCTACATAAACAAAAACTCTTTGGGCTCTTCAGTAATATTTTAAATTGTAAAAGGATCCATGGACCAAAAAGTTTGAGAACTACTACTCTACACTGTTATCCTTATATTTAGAACCTTCCTCTTGGTGTAGATTTTGGATCTTAAAAGTTGACCTCCCAATTTCAGGGAATCCAGCCATTCTATTAAGAATAGCACATTCTTAAAATCTGTCAAGATTGTTAGCAATAATACCTGAGACCTTTGTACATTCTTTTAAACTATTTGCCTGCTCCAAGAGCTCACAGTACTAAATATCAGGATATCATGATTCTGGTATACTTGAGTCAGATTTCCAGAGTTAATTTTTATGAAATATATAGAAAGAATGATATTATAATTAAAGCAGGTGATGTCTGAATGTTTGTATTTCAGTGTGTGATTGGTATGGCAACTAGTATATCACCACCTCCAGAAGTTTATCCAACCACAAAAAGTGAATATTCTGTTTTCTTTCTTACATAATGGAATGGATGAATGTTTTTACTACCGTTTATTTATTGCATATTTTCAGACATTTTAGAAACATTGTAAAGAACACTTACACTAGGTGGTTTCTAAGAGAACTGTTTATTTCTTTCATTTAACAAAAAGCTGGTAATCGTATGCCAGACCTTATGTTTAAGTACCAGGGGGACATAAACCAGATGTGGTCTTCATTCTTAAGAATTTTATGTTAGGGGAGATTAAAAAAAAGAAAATAAATGAGAGATATTTTTGCCAACCTAGTGTAAAACTTCTCAAAAATAATATCTTTTTTATTCTTGATGAATGATTATTGATTCTGTGTGAATAAAAGGTCGTAGCCTATTTGATACAAATACAATTTAATTAATTAAATTTTACTCCCACTGTGAAATGGAAGTTATTGAGATCTAATACAATGCCAAAGTGTTTTTTAAAACAAGGACTAAATGTTCTTTCTCTAATCTCTCTCAGAATAAAATGAGATAATATTGTCTGCTTATATAGTGGACACAGGAGAATGTTTATTCTAAGACAATGTTGGTTGCCTAGTTGAGTTTGTACATGTGATCATCAAAAGAAAACAATATTCTAAATTTCTCAGAAAGTTGGGGAACATGTAGGTATAGATTTTACATAACTAGACTTCATATCCAAATATTACAGTGGATATATACCAAATTTATATTGAAATATGGTCTCAGTTCAAATTTTTGCAGCTAGGAGAACTTTACAGGTCTAACTTACTTATATCTTACTTTAGTGCATACCCTAACGGTATTCTAACAAGTATTACAATACTATTACTTCATGTACAAGTAGACTTGGGACTCTTTTATGGTGAATATCGTTAGCCTGGAGTTCACAGTTGACACTTCACCCAGGAACAAAGTTGAAAATCTATTAAAACCTGCTAGTAAAATTTTCTAATAAAAATTTTACTATAATGAAGTATGAGCTTAGTAGGACCTAAAACTAGCTAACATCTTTTGAGGTATACATTGTCAAGCTAACCTAGAACAATATCTGTATCCTAGCCTAACTATTCAGGTTATACAGCATTTCTAGGGCCAAATGAAAATGGACATGAATAAAGAGGTACATTTTAATGAAATTGTGGCTTTAATATGAACTTTTAAATGTCATGTGGATTAATGATCAGTTTTATTAACTTCTTACACAGAGAATTAAAGACAGATAAGCTTAACATTTCTTGGCTTGGTTTGTTACAGGAGAAGAGGGATATAGTTTTTAAAGTATTCAATATCATATTGCTAATTTTTTTGAAAATAAAAAAATTATTTTCTATAACATCAGCTATTATTGAAAGAAAAACCCAATAAAATATTTGTGACTGATGAAGATGCTGTATTTTTCTCTGTGGAAGGGTCAAGTCCCCCAGCCATTCCTTCTGCTAAGAGGAACGTAGACAATCTCTGGGATGATTATATAATAAAACTTTATGTTTATCAGAATAGTGATGGAGGATGAGAAGAGGGCAGAAATGTGGCAAGCATGGGAATTAAAAGGTTAACAACAGTGGTATAATGGCTGGAGTGGATTCCAGTCTTCAGCACTGTCTAACTATCCTGTCAATTTTAAGAAAAAGTTTGAAAGTAAGTTTTGGGTTTGAAGCTTCAAGATGGCTGATGAGAGACATCTATCACTCATCTCCTCTGCAAAGGACCAAAACAGCAAGTAGATAATTACATTCAAATAGAGCTTCTAAGAGAGAACACTGGAATTCAGTAGGGAAGTGACAGGGAACCTCTGAGGCATTGAACAACGGGGAAGCCAAGAGGCCAGCCAGGCCAGGGCTGGCTCAGAAGGAGGAGGAAGTCACACTGTGGGGAAGAGTTAAGCAAGAGATCTCTAGTAGTCCATGTTTCCACCACGGACTCCCACAGTTCTAGCCACAGGAGTTCCCTGAAGCCCATGCAGACCTTGTGACTAGTTTAGGGATCTGCCTGGAAGGCATGTGATGACATTGTGCCAGAGGGAGTTCACACTGGGTCCCACATATCCCCAAGCAGCTGTAGACTGGTGCCATTTTGAGAGGTCAGCCACCAGCAGACTACATCCTGCTATGGGGCTGAACAGCCCATGAATCTTTACATACCTAGAATCCTGCTGACATCCCCCCACGTCCACTCACAGGGCTTCAGTGTCGTGATGTTGGCTGAACCTAGCGGTGTGGCCAGGTTTCCAGCACTCTAGCCAATGCAATCTCTTCCACCCTGGGGATAGTCAATTCAGTGTACCAGAGGATTGCCCCCAGGACAAAGGGAGCCAAAGGATGCACTCCCCAGAGCCTGAGAGCCATCTGTACAGGGCCAATGCCACAGATAGCAACCTTGCTTTCTTCCAGTACCGGGCTGTTTTGCACCTATACATGCCTTCAGGGGACCTGGGCAGTGGCCTGGCCAGCCAGTGTCCAGGCATACTGTCTAGGAGCCTAGTGATTTGACCTACCTCACTCACTGAAGCCAGTGCCATGCGACCATCCAGGAGCCTGAGGACTAGCCTGCCCCAGTTACTACCAGCACTGCTTGTTTGTACTGTCCAGGGGCCTGGGGATAGGCCTGCCCTGCCTGCTGGCTGCCAGCACCCACATATGCCTCCCAGGAACCAGCCACTCAGCCTGCCACTGCTACCACTGGTGTCCATGTGTGCCACTTGGATGCCCATGGGTTGGCCCACTGCCACTACTGCCACTGCCAATGACACAGACACAGTGTTGCCACTGTCATCACCCAAACATGTCACCTGGAAGCCTAAGGACCACGATACCTAACATGCTACTACCACCACAGGTGCCTGCGGAACAGCCCACCCTGCATCCCTATCCCCAGCAAAGCTTCTCCATAGCCTCCACTAACAGCTGCAATCTAAGCCACTGAGGAACTCAAAACAGAAACCACTGATGCTAATTACAGCCAAAGAAATCACAGAGACTACACTACTCTGCCCACCCAGAATCAAAGCTAAAGCATTCTACCTACCAACACTATTTATAAATTTATCAGAAAAAAGTCTTTCCTATGAAAGCCAGAGCAGATGTCAACATGAGGAAATAAGAAACATGAAAAACCAAGGAAACATGACAACTCCAAAGGAACACAATAATTCTCTAGTAATAGATCCCAAAGAAAATGCAATCTATAAAATCCCAGGGAAAGAATGTAGAATGATGATACTTAAGAAACTCAGTGAGAGGCTTTCTGGGGGACTGGAGTCTGAGGCCGCGAGTCACTGCTTGATCCTGGATACAGAGGGAAGTTTCTGCACTTTTCCTGTGGAAGGAGCAAATATTCAGGAGCTTCTGTATAAAATTTGGTCCTAATGGCAGGTAAAGAAATTAATGAAGACTATCCAGTAGAAATTCATAAGTATTTATCAACATTTGAGAATTCCATTGGCGCTGTGGATGAGATGCTGAAGACTATGATGTCTGTTTCTAGAAATGAGTTGTTGCAGAAGTTGGACCCACTTGAACAAGCGAAAGTGGATTTAGTTTCTGCCTACACATTAAATTCAATGTTTTGGGTTTACTTAGCAACTCAAGGAGTTAATCCTAAGGAACATCCAGTAAAGCAGGAATTGGAAAGAATCAGAGTATACATGAACAGAGTCAAGGAAATAACAGATAAGAAAAAGGCTGGCAAGCTCGACAAAGGTGCAGCTGCACGATTTGTAAAAAATGCCCTCTGGGAACCAAAACCGAAAAATGCATTGAAAGTTGCCAATAAAGGAAAAAGTAAAAACTAACTTTTTGGTTTTGATGTACATATATTCAAAAAGTACATCTTCATTTTTTGGAACTATGCATCAAAAAAAAAAAGTACATCTTCTTACTGCTTTCACAAGATAGAGGATTATGTGGCAATGCAGGGTTTAAATGTATTCCTTATCAAATTCATGTGTAAATTTATACTTTAAATTTATAACGCTAAATACTGCCCCCCCAAGATTGTTATCTTTATTGATTTTCTTATAGAGCACTATGAGGTTTTTAACATCGTGATGTATTTTATATTTATAGTTTATCATATCTTTTGACAAGACTCTTATTTCCTTATGTAAGTCAATCTTGCAAGTACATTTTATAAGCAACTGTGAAATTTAAGTTAAATATTCTTTGTAAACATTTGTACTATTTTAAATGAATAATGACCTTATGAAGTATGCTATCTGTAGGCTGAGGTTATAAGTACATCTGTTTTTACTGTATGATATTAAGAATGAAATGACTTCAGTGTCCATTTTTTTCCCTGTGTAGTTACTTCATGTTTTCATGATTTTAGGAATTGTTGCTTTTTTGATATTTGAAGTATGAAATTAAAACTTTACGGCTGTACTTTAATTCTTGGCATGTTGCCTCTGTGTCCCATTTAAAATAAAATATATTCTCATTAACTTTAGATGGGAAATAAGGTTGTATGTTGGTGGATAAATTTTGGCATAATGGTTATACCCTCTCAATAAAGGCTGTAAATGTTGTGTAAAAAAAAAAAAAAAAAAAAACTCAGTGAGATACAAGGGAGTACAGATAGATAATTCAACAAAGTCAGATAAACAATACAAAAAATCAGGAAACAATTCATGATCTGCATGAGAAATTCAATGAAGCGATAGATGCCATAAAAAAGAAGCAAACAAATTCTACAATTGAAGAATTCAATGGATAAAATTAAAAAATACAATCAAGAGCTTCAACAATAGACTAGATCAAGTAGAAGAAAGAATTTCTAAACTTGAAAACAGATCTTTTGAAATAAGGCAGTCAGACAAAAAAAAATTTTTTTTAAAGAATAATGAAAACCTACCTGACATATGGGACACCATAAAGTGATGAAATATTCAGATTTGGAGATTTTTCAGAAGGAGAAGGGATGGGCAAAGGCATAGAAAACCTATTTAATGAGATAATAGCTGAAAACCCCTTAAGTCTTGCCAGAGATATAGCCATTCAGATAGAGGAAGCTTAAAGATTTCCAAATATATCCAACCCAAAAAGATCTTTTTCAAGGCACATTATAGTCAAACTGACAATAGTCACAGACAGAGAATTCTAAAAAATAACAAGAGAAAAGCATCCAGTCACATATAAGAGAATCCCAATCAGACTAACAGCAGATTTCCTGGCAGAAATTTTACAAGCCAGGAGAGAATAGGATGATGTGATCAAAGTGCTGAAAGAAAAAAAACTTATAGCCAAGAATATTATACACACCAAAACTATCCTTCTCAAATGAAGGAGAAATAAAGTCTTTCCCAGACAAGCAAAAGTGGAATCCATCACTACTAGACCAGCCCTATAAGAAATGCTTAAGGGACTTTTACATCCGAAAGTGAAGGGATAATGTCTATCATGATGGAACTACACAAAAGTATAAAACTCACTGTTAGATCAGTTACACAAATGAGAAAGACAAAGGAGCCAAACATTATCACCTAAAAAACCCCACCAAATCATAAAGGTAATAAAAGAGGAACAAAGGTTATTCAAAACAATTTTGAAAATGTCAGGAGTTAAGTCCTCACCTATCAATAACAACCTTGAAACTGCTTAAATTCCCCAATTAAAAGGTATAGACTGGCTGAATGTATATAAAAACAAGACTCAACTACATGCTGCCTACAAGAATCTCACTTCATCTATAATGGCACACATAGACTAAAAGTGAAGGGATGGAAATATATACACACACACATACACACACATATACATTTAACATACAAATAGAAACCAAAAGTATACAGGAATAGCTAGCTATACTTATATCAGACCAAATAGACTTTAAGTCATAAAACATAAAGAGAGACAAAGAAGCTCATTATAAAATGTAAAGGGATCAATACAGCAAGAGGAGATAACAATTGTAAATATATGTGCACCCAACACTGGAGCACCCAGCTATATTCAGTAAATATTATTAGAGCTAAAGAGAGATAGGCTCCAATTCAATAATAGTTAGGCCACTTCAACACCCTACTTTCAGCATTAGGCAGATCATCTAGACAGAAAATCAACAAAGAAACATCTAACTTAATCTGTCTGCACTGTAGACCAAATGGACCTAACAGACATTTACAAAACATTTTATCAAACAGCTGCAGAGTACACATTCTTCTCATCAGCACATGGAATATTCTTCAGGATGGACCATATGTTAGGCAACAAAACAAGTCTCAGCAAATTTTTAAAAGTTGAAATCTTATCAAGTATATTTTCAGACTACAGTGGAATAAAACTGGAAATCAATGACAAGAGGCTGTTTGGAAATAGTACAGATACATGGAAATTAAACAACATGTTCTTCAATGACCATTAGGTTAGTGAAGAAATTAAGAAAGAAATCAAAAAATTTCTTGAAACAAATGAAAATGGAAACCACATCTATGTGAACCAAAACCTATGTGATATAGCAAAAGCAGCACTGACAGGGAAATTTATAACAATGAATGCCTATGTCAAAAAAAGTAGAACAATTTCAGATAAACAATTTAATGTACATCAAGGAACTAGAAAAGCAAGAATAAACCAAACTCAAAATTAGTAGAAGGAAAGAAATAATAAAGATCAGAACAGAAGTAAATGAAATAGAGATTGGGAAAAAAATACAAAATATCAATGAAACAAAAAAATATTTTAGGAAAAGATAAACAAAATCAATAAACCACCAGCTAGGCTAACCAAGAAAAAAAGAGAGAAGACCCAAATAAATAAAACAGAAACAAAAAAGGAGACATTACAACTGACACTATAGAAATACAAAGGGTCATTAGAGAGTATTATGAACCACTATATACTAACAAAATTGGAAAACCTAGAGGAAGTAGATAAATTCCTAGAAACATACAACCTCTCAAGATTGAATCAGGAAAAATAGATAACCTGAACAGACCAATAATGAGTAACAATGTTGAATTGATAATAAAAAGTCTCCCAAGAAAGAAAAGCCCAGGACTGGATAGCTTTACTAAATTCCACCAAACTTATAAAGTTGAACTGACATCAATTCTCCTCAAACTATTCCAAAAAATTAAAGAGGAAAGTATTATTCCAACTCATTCTACAAGGTCATCATTACCCTGATACCAAAACCAGAGAAGGACACAACAAATAAAGGAAACTACAGGCCAGTGTCTCTGATGAACATATATGCAAAAATCCTCAACAGAATACTAGCATACCAAATCCAATAGCACATCAAAAATATAATACACCGTAATCAAATGGGATTTATCCTGAGCATGCAAGGATTGTTCAACATATGTAAATCAATAAATATGTTACATCACATCAACAGAATGAAGTACAAAAACCTTACAATCATCTCAATAGACTCAGAAAAAGCATTTGATAAAATTTAACATCTCTTCATAATAAAAACTCTCGAAAAATTAGGCACAGAAGGAACATACCTCAACATAATAAAGATCATATATGGCAGATCCACAGCTAACATCATACTGAATGGGGAAAAGCTGAAAGCCTTTCCTCTAAGAACTGGATCAAGATAGGGATTGCCACTTTCATGACTCTTATTCAGCATGCTACTGGAAATCCTAGCCAGAGCAATTGAGCAAGAGAAAGAAATAAAAAGTATCTAAATTGGAAAGGAAGAAGTCAAATTGTTCCTCTCTGCAGGCAACATGCTCTTATATTTAGATAAGTATAGACTCCACCAAAAAAACTCTTAGAAATGTTAAACAAATTGAGTAAAGTTACGATACAAGGTCAAAATACAAAACTCAGTACCATTTTTTATACCAATAATGAACTTGCTGATGGAAGAGATCAGGAAAGCAATCCCATTTATAATAGCTACAAAATAAATAAATAAATAAAATGCTTAGAGATAAAAATTTAACCAAGGAAGTGAAAGACCTTTATAATGAAAACTACTAAACATTGATGAAAGAATTAATATTGTCAAAATGACCATATACTACCCAAAGCAATCTATAGATTTAGTGCAATCCCTATAAAAATATCAATGACATTCTTCACAGAAATAGAAAAACATTCCTTAAATTTGTATGAAACTACAAAAGACCTCAAGAGTCAAAGCAATAGAGATAAAAAAAAAGAGAGAGAGAGAGAACAAAAGTGGAGGCATCATAATACCTGACTTCAAAATATACTACAAAGCTAAAATATACTACAAAACATACACAAAGACCAATGGAACAGAATAAAGAACCCAAAAACAAATCCACATACTTGTAGCCAACTGATTTTTGACAAAGGCACCAAGAACATACATTAGGAAAGCACATCCTCTTCATTAAATAGTGCTGGGAAAACTGCATATTCATACGTAGAAGAATGAAACTAGATTCCTCTCTCTCACCATATACAACCATAAATATGAAATGGTTTAAAAATTTTAAGACCCGAAACTTTAAAACTATTAGGGAAAAAAACAGGGAAAGTCTTCAGGACGTTACTTTAGGAAAGAATTTTATGACTAAGACTTCAAAATCACAGGCAACAAAAACAAAATAGACAAATAGGACTATATTAAATTAAAAAGCTTCTGCACAACAAAGGAAATGATCAACAGAGTGAAGAGATAGCCTGTAGGATAGGAGAAAATACTTGTAAACTATTCATCTGACAAGGGACTAATATCCAGAATACACAGGGAATGCAAACAACTGAATGGCAAAAAAACCAAATAATTCCAATAAAAGTGGGCAAAGGGTTTAAGTAGACATTTCTCAAAAGAAGCCATACACATAGCCAACCAATATATGAAAAAAATGCTCAAAATCACGAATCATTAGGGAAACGCAGATCAAAACCACAGTGAGATATTATCTCAGTCTAGTTAGAATGGCTGTTATCAAAAAGACTAAAAAATAAATGCTGGCAAAGATGTGGAGAAAAGTTAGTAACTCTTGTACGCTGTTGGTGGAAATATAAATTAGTACAGCCATTATGGAAAATTGTATGGAAGTTTCTCAAACTAAAAATTGTTCTATATGATCCAGTAATTTCACTACTGAATATTTATCAAAAGAACAGGAAATCAGTATTATTAAAGATACCTACATCCCTGTGTTTATGGCAACACTGTTCACAGTAGCCAATATAGGAAATCAACCTAAGTGTCCATCAATGGATTAATGCATAAGGAAAATGTGGTATATATACTCAATAGAATAATATTCAGTTATTAAAAATAGAATGAAGTTATGTCCCTTGCAGCAGAATGGAAGAAACTGGAGGTTATTACGTTAAATGAAATATATGAGCAGGCACAAAAAGATAAATATTGCATCTTCTTACTCATATGTGGGAGCTAAAAAAGTTGATCTCATGGAGGTATAGAGTAGAATGATGGTTACCAGAGGCTGGGAAGGGTGAAGTAGGGGGCAGGATGGAGAGAGGTTGGTTATTGGGTAAAAACATTACAGTTAGGTAAAAAAAACAGTAAGTTCTAGTGTTTGATAATATATAGTTGGGTGACTATAATTAACAGTAACTTACTATATATTTCAAAATAGCTAGAAGATAAGATTTGAAATGTTTCCAATA